TGAAAGTGTCACAGGTAACATAATTCCGAACGTGAAGGGTTGGAATTCAATTTTCCTTGGAAAATCTCGTATTCCCGTGCATGACGAACAAGTGTGTAAATAAGTTGGCGGTTTTGAAAACTTCTCGCGAGCCATCGTGAAAAATCCTGTTATGAAATTCAGTTCAGCTCTGTTTCTCGAATAAATACCCGCTTTTATTCGCGCACGAAGTAATTCCCCCAGCCGTTGAATTGCGAAAAAAATTTCAGCACAGGGAAGAAAAACGGCGAAAGAAGAAGAAAGAGAAGGTCAAAGCCTTGATTTTAATCAAACAAATGGATTAGTATACTGGCAGAGTTTGCTGGCAACGTTGTGTGATCTCGCTGATATTAAAGTAGTCTCATATTTGCCGCGAAGTTTCAAGAACTCGAAATCGAAATTTCCCGTCCGGTTCTTTTAAAATTGTGAAATCCTTGAAACAAACGCGAGTTAACATCAATTGTTGGCATTCGAGTTTGGATTTCTATCGTTGAACCAATGTTTACTTATCGTAAAAATCGTAAAAAGTCATTCGAATTTTTTTTCAACTAACCGAGCTAAAATTTATATCGTCGAGTTTGCTTAACTGTGTTTTCGTGCTTAAATGCGTGCAAACACTTAAATACGGGACAGAGTTCGTTTAAATTTTTTAATCTTCTTCGTGCAATCACGGAGTACACGTCTAATTACAAAATCCTTGAAATAAACAACGCTGTCTGTTGTGGCATTTATGTCATTGAATTCATTTTAATGACTCCCACACAAAGAAAATATATCACAAAATCATTGAAATAAATATTTCATCGCATGTGACATTAAGTTGGAATTTATATTGCTAACTATGCAACAATAAGTACAGTAATTATGATAAGAAAAGACTGCAATATGTTGCAAAAAGATTCTTTAATAATAATAAATTCTATTATTAAATAATACTGCAGTACGGAATAAATACTCAAAGGATCGAAAATAATCTGAAACGAATCTTTGCGTAATTTTTAAAACAGAAGTAAAAATTTACCTTCGCTACTAAATACTATAAAAAGAAAAGAAACATACTCCAATACGTTACATTTGTACATTACGCATTCTGTCTATGGTTATGCTCATCCTTCAATTTACATGTAAATTCTGCATTTATTGCGAAACCGGCAAACAGATACGTGCAGAGAATTTTCGTGTGTTCAACAAACTGATACGCATATTTCCAATAAATCCATACTTCTGTCACGCTGGTCGATGCGTATTGTGCGTACGTGTATATTATCAGAATACTAAAGATCGATGGAATTGCAATACGCCACACTTACATTCACCGGAAGATCGGCGAAGAACCGAAACTCGAGTAGAACGAGAGGAACGAATTTTCTCTGGTCTCCCAGCAAAGCTGTCGACTTTTTCATTAAAACGCTGCCAAATGCAGAGAGCGTTGCATTGCTCAAAGAGACGTAACAAATGAAATAAAATTCCGCTG